ACAGATAGTGCTGTGTGACGCAGCTTTTCTCAGCTTGTTTAACTCTGACACTGAAGAGGAGGACTTCGATGGTTTCAGTGTGCCGGAGGAAGATGAATGAGACGTTTTGTTGGACCAGAAACTGTTAAAGAAAACTACCAAAATAAGATCAGTTAAATGAATTGTATTCCTCCGAACTTTAATTCCTAAAGGTTTGCTTTTTATGTTTTGATGTTGAATTCACTTTTTTGATTTGGGTGTACTGTTTTTTTATGTTGGGGGTGCGGCTTATAGTCTGGTGCGGCTTAAATGATAATGTTCGCGGGTTTATTTTTAAATGGCGGGTGCGGCTTATAGTCCAAAAAATACGGTACTCGAATAATTCAAGTAATTCGATTACAAAAAATCCTCGAGGCAAATTTATCTGCCTCGAAGCTTCGTAAAAAATACATGTTATAATCAGCGCACTTTCATCCGCCCAGAATGTTATTTGTGTTACACACAATGCTACTATGTTAGTGCTTCCGCTAACAGTTAAGGCCCCCACATACTCGGGCATACTTCGGTTCATGTGGACTCGAGGCGGACTTGAAGTGGACGTCCGCTGGACTGGACCGCGCAGAGATCACTTTTTTTTACGTCCGCGTATGCATACTCTGTGTCGCACAATAAACAGCCCGGCGAGAAACAGGACCTCGGACTGTTGACGCGTCGCGTGCGTATGCTTGCTGAGAGCTATATTTATCTTCAGAAGAAGATGAAGAGTGCTGAAACGAAGTGCTCAGAAAACGATAAATTATAAAAAGCATGGGAACATTTAAAACTAAACAGAAAAGACGACAACGTGCAATGATCTGCACATCCTCAGTGTTTCTGCACCGGAACAAAAACAGCTGCTGCATGACCCGAACACGTCCAGAGGTAACAACAGGTATTTGTTTACGTTCACTTGGTTACCTAAATCTGTGATAATCTGTCAGGTTCCAGATGTACAAGGAGGAGGTACAGCGGGTAAAATAAGTATTGAACACGTCAGCATTTTTCTCAGTAAATATATTACTAGAGGTGCTAATGACATGAAATTTTCACCAGATG